CCGAAAAACAGAAGCAAGCCAATTTGGAATTCTTATATATTTTTGGAAAAATATACTCTAAGTTGAGAATTTGAATTTAAAGCAAAATACACACATCTGCAGATCATTAATAGAAGGAAAATGTGTACCCACTATGTGCCATGGTAAAGGAGAGGGCCGGCAAGAAAGAAGAAGACCCTCAATGAGATGGATTGGTACAGTGGCTGCAAGGAGGAGCTCAAACATAGCAACAACTTTGAAGATGATGCAGGACCAGGCAGCCTTTAGTTCTGTCTGCCTGGGGTTGCTGTGGGTTGGAGCCAACTCAGTGGTACCTAACAACAACTCGATGCCAGGCCAAGAGTGGGTATGGAGTAAGGGAGAGTCCTGAGGAGTTCATGGTCTTTTGAAAATAACAGCTCACTGCCGTCAAGTCGGATCTGACTCATAGCGACCCCTCCTTGGGTTTCCCAGGTGGTATTACTACAGAAGTAGATTGCCCAACCTTCCTTCCCAGGAGTGGCTGGTGGGAACAGGCACATAAATAACTATGCCTTGGAAGGAAGATTGGGCAATCTGCTTCCTTAGTGACATTGTTGTTGTTATGTGCGGTCGAGTCAGACCCGACTCACAGCGACCCCTCCTTGGGTTTCCAAGGCAGTATTACTATGGAAGTAGAACACCAAGGAGGGGCGGCTATGAGTCAGAGACGACTCGACAGCACATAACAGCAACCACAATGAATAACTATGAGACCATGTGATGAAATATTTGTCTTTTCAAATCTAATTGAGGGATGTTTCAAAGAGTAAGGGAAGCACAGAGAACTAACTCTGCCTGGGAATGTAACCTTTGCCAGAAATCTTAAAGGATGAACAGGAGATATGTAGGAAGAGAAGCAACAGCATGCACGATGGCCCATAGACATGAAAATTATGATGAAATGTGAAAGAAACTGTGTAACAAGCTAAAAAGTCATGAGAAATCTGAAGCAGTGGAGTGGCATGGCCTGTGTTAAAAGGACAACACTGGCAACACTTAAGAGGGATGGCTTGGAGAGAGACAGGTTGGTCTGGAAGACCAGCTAAGGGCCAGCAAGAGCTTGGTAGTGGCCAGGGAATGGAGAGGCACAAAGCAGATGCAAGAGGCATGGGTTCTGCTGACAGACTGGCAGTGAGGGTTGCTGAATAAGGAGAGGCCTGCCCAGCTTGCTAGTAATGGAGCTAGTAGTTTTATCTCCACCCATCTAAGTCAACTAACTTAGAAATCAGAGTGCAAGGAAGGGGCATACTTAATTAACATCTTTAAAAAATTCAACTCATATAAACTTTACTCTGCAACTTATTTCTAGACTTAATAGTATATGCTGTTGCCCTCAAGTCGGCTCCAACTCCTAGTGACCCTACATACAACAGAACAAAACACTGCCTGGTCCTGTGTCAGCCTCACAATCCTTTCTACACCTGAACCCATCGTTGCAGCCACTGTGTCAATCCATCTTGTTGAGGGCCTTCCCCTTTTTCATTGATCCTCCACTTTACCAAACATGATATCCTTCTCCACGGAATGGTCCGTTCTGACAACATGACCAAAATAGGTGAGACGAAGTCTTGCTATTCTCACTTCCAAGGAGCATTCTGGCTGCACTTCTTCCAGGACAAACTTGTTAGTTCTTCTGGTAGTGCATGGTACTTTCTGTATTCTTTGCCAACATCACAACTCAAAAGCATCAACTCTTCTTTGGTCTTCCTTATTCACTCTACAGTTCTCACAGGCATATGAGGCAACTGAAAATACCATGGCTTGGGTTAGGCACACCTTAGTCTTCAAAGAGATATCTTTGCTTTTCAGCACTTTAAACAGGTCTTTTGCAGCAGATTTGCCCAGCGCAATATGTTGTCTGATGTCTTGACTGCTGCTTCCATTGGTGTGGATTGTGGAACCAAATAATATGAAATCTTTGACAACTTTAATATTTTCTCCATTTATCGTGGTGCTACTTATTGGTCCAGTTGTGAGGATTTTTATTTTCTTTATATTGAGTTGTAATCCATACTGGAGACTTCCGTCTTTAATCTTCATCAGTAAGTGCTTCAAGTCATCCTTACTTTCAGCAAGCAAAGTTGTGTCGTATCACAGATTGTTTATGAGTCTTCCTCCAGTCCTGATGCCATGTTCTTCTTCATATAGTCCACCTTGTCTGATGATTTGCTCAGCATACACATTGAATAAGTATGGTGAAAGGATACTACCCTGACACACTCCCTTCCTGATTTTAAACCACACAGTGTCCCCTTGTTCTTTTTGAACAACAGCCTCTTCGTCTATGTACAGGTTCTTCATGAGCACAGTTAAGTGTTCTGGAATTCCAATTCTTCTCAATGTTATCCATAATTTGTTATGATCTAATAGTATACACAGGAGTAATATTCAAAATTTTAATAATTGGAAGACGTGGGCATTGGCCTTAAACAAACCAGTTCAGTGGCTCTAGTGCACATTGAGTGAGTCCCAGTCCAGGGTGTAATAGACATCCTTCCAGGAAAGTCAGTAGGGCTCTAACTTGTTCTTTGTATTAGAGGTATGCTATTTCCAAAGCAAAGGTGCCCTGGTGGTGCAGTGGCTAAGCGCTCAGCTGCTCACCTAAAGGTAGGCAGTTCAAACCCACCAGCCATTCTGCAAGAGAAGGATGTAGTAGTCTGCTTCCATAAAGATCACAGCCTTAGAACCCTGTGGGGCAGTTCTGTTCTATCCTCTATGTTTACCGTGATTTACAATTGAGTTGATGGCAATATGCTTAGTTACAACCATGGAATGTGTCCTAATTCATTCAACCATTCCCCTACAGATGGATGGTCACAGTGGTCCTGTTATTTTGCTATCACGGACCATGTGGCAGTGGGCACTTTAACATGTCTGCACACACTCTAAGAACACCTTCATGCTTTATTTTAGATGACTTACATTTGCTTCTGCTACTTCATTTGGTGACAGCTATCCAGACAGTTGATATCATGTGTGAACAAAATACGTAACAAATGCAAGGCCCAACTTGGGGCATGCTTACCAGTTATTCTCCCGAGGCCTGGTATCCGTGACCCAGCTTCCCCTGCCAGATGCGCTCCCAAGCTGTGGCCAATCAAGTGCACTTTGGAGGGGGAATATCCAAATTTTGTCTGATAGAAGTTTTTCAAGGAAAACAGAACAAATATCTTAGAAGAGTAGGTAGAATGGCTTAAATGTGCTTTGAAAAAAATAAATAAATAAGAGAGCTGGCATGTTCTCTCCTTTGCACACAGGGTGGGGATTGGTAAAGTGACAAAAAGTGATACACTCTGTCATCTACATCCCCAGCCAGCTGCAGGGAGGAGCATCAGGTGGGCCTGGAGGAAAGGCTCTTATGGAGTGCGTCCCCTGTCCTCAGGTACAACGTTCATCCAGCTGCTGTTCATCCAGCTGTCTGTGGCTTCAAGCCCTGTGTCCATCCTCAGTGAGAGCCAGCCACTCAGCACATACCCAAAGCAGGCCAAAAGGAAGTGCACACCTATGAGGTTAGCCCTCCAAGCTAAGGAAACTCTGGAAAATGTCTGGGATGACTTTGATCTTAAAAGAGGAGTTCTGAAGAATATTCCCAAGAAGACCGTATGCCTGTAAGTTAGAAGAACAAAACAGAAAAAAACCCAGCCAACTTAATGGGAAAAAAGGAGTAACCATTGCTTTGTTTTACTTATTTAGGATCTTGTCATAATAGTAGGCCAATCAAGCAAATGCTTCACTTGTGTAAACTGTACTTTGATCAACTGTCCCATTTTTTTCACTAGCTGTGATAGTTTGTATGTTGCTTTGCAAGAGTATTTTCTCTCTCATTTATATGTATGACTGGCCACCAGGAATGGGTCCTGGTCGTTAGGGTATCCCTTCCTCCACTGTTGCCACCATTTTACAGTTCCACTCTTTCCTAGCTTCTTACATGGGCTGATATCAGAAACGGACTCTTGGTCCTGAACCATTTCTGTCCTCCTCCTCCCTCCGTCTGCTTCATCCCCTGCTGATTCCTGGAACCAGGGTTAATGTGCTGCCTGATAGCTGTGATGAGATGACAGGGGAGGCAGGGAAAAGGCTCACAGCCATTTCTTCAGCATTCTATTCTCCAGGCCTGGCTTCTGAGTTGTTCCCGGGGGTTTTCCAAGGCTTCCTCACCCCAGGCCTCTCCCCTTCTTCACCTTGGGCCTCCAAAGCTGCCCATTTAATCCAATAAACATTTAATTTTTCCTTCCATTCAGCAAACTGTCCTCCCAACTTCCTACAAACCACTAGTGTTTACTTACTTACTGAATCTAGAAGAGTCCCCACATCAACAAAGAAATTCCCAGAAGCTTTAGACTGGCTTTTCTCTGAATGGGAGATAAGTCTCCTGTCACTCTTTGTATACAAAGACTCAGGCACTGTACTCATCTATTTGCACAGAGAAGGAAGAGGAAAGGGTTGGGGCCTAGGTTTGTGTTCTGTTCCCCAACTCCTTTCCCAGGCTATTTACCAAGTGAAAAAGACTTTACTCTGGTGAGGGTTCAGAGGCCACCCCCTTGGAGAGGCCTTTCCTAGCCACCCTAACTAAGTTAGCTTCCACTTCTGCCACTCTTTGTCCCATTGCCTTGGATTGTCTTCACAATACTTGTCACCAGCTGACATTTTCTGGTTCATTTATTTATGTGTTTGCTGTGATTTCACGTTCTGTTGGAGCAGGGACTCTGTCCTGCTCACAGTAATATTCTCAGTGCTGGTCCACAGCCAGCGCTGAGTATAAGATCTGTTGAAGGAACTAGCAAGCTCTCCTTGAGAGTTTGATAGGGTCACTGATTCCCTGCATTCTACCTCCCTGCATTAAGTGGTGGGAAGTTACCTTCTATAACGGCAGAGCATCTGGGTGTTTGCAAGTGTCTCAGAGTGTGTACTTCATAAAGAGCAAGGCTCAGCTTTATTCTTTTAGAGTATGTGTAGGTTAAATAGTTGTTTCTGGATTGGCCTATAAAAACCCGCTGTCATCAAGTGGATGCCAACTTACAGTGACTCTGTAGGACAGAGTAGAACTGCCTCACAGTATTTCCGAGGCTGTAACCTTTACAGAAGCAGACTGCTTTATCTTTCTCCAGAAGAGCTGCTCGTGGGTTCAAACTGCTTATCTTTTGGGTAGCAGCCCAGCGTATAAGCACTGCACCACCAGTCCTAACTAATTCATTGTCATGGAACCCTGTTTCTGTGAGAAATTTCAGTTCATATTCTAAAGAAGTAGCATTCCTAAGATGGGAACAGTTTATAATCATAAAGATAGGTTTAAAATGTGATGGAATTTAATCAAAACGGTGCTTCCTGGCTGACCTAGGCAGCAGTCCTTGGGGGACTTTTTTGGTAATGAGCCTGTGAAGAGACACTGCCATCTAGTGGTGCTTTGTTTGGGGACAGGCACTTCTTTCATAGGAAGTTAACTCTCCTTTACTCACTACTGTGCTCATAATTTCACATTTCAGCTCTTGTCTAAGCTAAGAAAAAGAATATAAAATTGTCAACAATTCTGGGTGCTACAATTCAAAACCAGTTAATATAATTTAAGTAAAAACCAACTCTCCTTACCACCAAAATATTAATAAAATAAGCCACCTCAGCGCCAACAACACGGAGATTGGTCAAGGCATGGATGTATTTCTGTGATCCGTTAATCCAGTCTAAATTAATGCAGTTCACATCTTCCACTTGAAGCAACACCTAGTAAAGAGATTATAATATCAAATAGTATAGATTAAGTATTAAATAAATAAGTGTTTTGGGGGGGACTTCTGGTAAGATGGAGGAATAGACAGACAAGCTATACAGACCCTCTTCAACAAAGAAAAGAGAAACCAAATGTCAGAG